AACAACTTAAAACAACATCTTAAATTAAAAAAAAGCAAAGGGCTGCACATTTACCGTATAACTTGGACATAGATTGAAATACGCGTTATTTTTTCATGAAAGCGAAATAAAAACTATTTTACAAAATGCTTTGCATTCATCGGGATGTCGACACATCTGTGTAGTGTCATTTATGCTATTTGGATTAAAATTCCTGAATTTCCACTAATTCAGTAACCTGTGGCGGAAGAGCCTTTTGAATTTTCAGTTTCGGTTTCTGCGCCGCCGACGCCGCCGCCGCCGACGAAAATTGGCCGCACGCCGCCGCCGATGAAAAAACCGGCGTGCGCCGACAACGCCGCCGCCGCCGACTCTGGACGACCCCCACGCCGCCGCCGGTCAAAATCGCCTCGGCGCACACCTCTAAGGACAAGTGGACAAGCAGCGCCATCTTCTAAATTATATCTGAACTTGGTCCTAAAAGTAGCGCGACCTGTGGGTGCCGCGTGATTGCGTAGCATGTTGGTAGGGTTGGTTTGCAAGTTGGAGCACAGACACCTACATACGTTGTAGTGCGCACTGTGCTGCTTGAATAGTTTGTAGCGGGAATCGCCACAGTTTACAACTGTCGAATCGAGGAGACGCTTCGCCGGAGATGCAAGGGGACAGAAATGACTGCACTGTCGACAAAGTACCGACGACATTTGTGGCTGAACGAAGGTGGGTAGTAGAGTGAGTGAGTAGTACCAATCGGCGCAAGCGTTGTTTCGCAATTTTCGCGCCAAATTGACTTAAGCGGGCAGTTTGAATTAGTCTGACTGACAGTAAGTGGATTGACGGGTGAACAAAGAATATAAAAAAAGCACCTGCCAGGTCTTGTGACTCACAATAATTACAGTTCTCCACTAGATTGATGATGGTGATAACCCAGGTGGTTATACTAAAGCTTCTAAAGTGGCGGAGAGGCTCCGTCGCTGAAGCCGACCACCGCCACATTGCTCAGGGCAGAAAGCGGATGGGCGAATTGTAGCGTATGTGACTTTCGCGTTGTTTTTGGGCCAGTAATGTTGCGTGTGGTGCCTCTAAATGAACATGATAGTTGTTAAGACGTATGTGATCACCTTTTGAGACGACAGTAGTGGGCTCTTGGGTAGCATTTGGCTGCGCGAATTGTGTGAAGCGGACACCGGGCACAAGTTTTGATGTGTAAGCAGGCACTGCTTCGCGCGCTCGCTTTTTCTCACATATTTTCGTGACTACGACTGCATTCGCGAGTACATAGATTTTCTTTTTTGCGTCCGGGTGCACAGAGATACTTCGAATATTTTTTTTGTACGTTTCAGGGTTCTAAAGACGTCGTATTGTGCGGCAGATGAGATTGCGCTCTGAAGCGAGCAGGTTAAGCGCCAAACAATAATGACGACTTATGTTCAGTACACATGTTGAAGCGGGCTGCTTCGATGAGACATGGTAAATAACGAGACTACTACCGTGTTTGCATCGTTTCCATGGGCACTTACAAAAGCCAGTACGTGAGTGTGCTTAATACAAGTGAACGCTTCGTTTTTGAAAAGTAGTTAATCTAACACGCGCTCTGCATTTTGTGGATTTTCAGTTTCTTATGTTTGCATGAGCGCTAGGCTCCCAATGCCAAAATGTGTGATGTTGCGATATGCTTCTCTTTATGTTGGAGAAAAAGGAAACGGGCTGCTCTGAAAAGTCAGGGAATTGCACTTTCGCCTAAAGCGCCCAAGTGCCTCTAACACAAAGGAGTGGCACAGAAAAAAAAAACTAAACAAAAATGCAATTAATTGGGAACGAGGTACAATTCACTGCTGAAATAGTAGGTAAGACATCGTAGCAGTACCAACGGAGCCTTTTGAAATGAATTTATGCTTCTCAGAATTTCATAGACCAGATAATAGAGCAGAGCATGTTATCAGATGCAGGATTGGAAGTTTTTCAAGCATCGTTTGTCCGGGTATCCAGGGGCTTCTCGAACGAGTACGCAAAAAGGCAAACACCCACCTCCCCGCTCCCAATATAAAAAGAGTTTGCACACACTGTACACTGTTAATTGCCAAGGGCTTATGGTTCTGTGCGAGTGAAACTTTTATTTTCGCTGCATGTCCTCACTGGTTACTTCTGCTGTGAGGCAACTGTGTAAATATATGATGCGAATTGATATCCCTGAGTACCATTTTTTTTACTGCGAAAGCTATTATAAATTTTTTTTATTCTATAAAAATAAATAAAATTAAAACACGGGTCACGCGCGGCGCCGTAGTTGTCCGCCGCCGCCGCCGCTCGTAAGCAGTATCGAATGAAAAAAAAAACAAACTCGGTAAATAAAAAAAAACATCAATAAGATAGTGGGATTCCGACCCGGGTCCGCTGCATGCCGGCCCAGCATTCAACCACTAAACCACGCCAGGGCTTGTAACTCGTTTCTAAACTGGCCTTAGGCAGGCTTGATGTCCTGAAAGGAATCGCGTTAATATGAGTAATAAAGTGTTTCGGAAGATGAAAGAAACAGCCAGGCGTCACATAATGCGAATGTCGTAACTGGGTCGTGAAATGCTCCAACCGATTAGAAAACTTGTTCTTGATCACTTATTGAATGTGCCGCATACCCATTTCAGGCATATGTCTTCATCGTCGTCAACCACTGCATAAAAAATTACACAAACTTTCTAACAAGTGTGTAGCAGATACCGCGTACGATGCGCCACAGAATGACGAAGGATAGCATAGCGAATGCTGGCTTACTACACAAAATTTATTACTATTAATGGCGCTGTGGGTACACAGCAGTGTGCTTGTAGCATTCCAAAGGTGTTTAAAAAAGGCTCTGAAAGACTGCTCTTCTACTTTTCGCTGTGACTGTACTGCGCCTTCCGCGCAGGCCTTGCGTTTTTTTAACACACTTAAAACGCTAAGTGTCACAGAAAAATTCAAGCACATGTGCATTAAAGTCGCTCCCATGTTCCCTCGCCGCATAAGAACAATAAACTGGTGCTGTAGTAGCTGTAACGAAATGTATGGGCGCAAGCGCCCGCAGCATTTACAGCGCTACAAGGCAAGGTTGAGCAATATGGCCGCTACTGCTGCACTTCGTTACATGGGCGGGTATGCGGAACCGCCACTCCAGAAGCTCCTTGGTGATAACCACTGGCTTACACTCAACGTGCGTGAGTGGCCGAGAAACGACTAAATTTAGGACACAAAACAGTTTGCTATATTGAGAAATTTTAGAGTATTTATTGTAAATAATTCACAGTAATTTACGAATTTGGAATAATCTTGATTCATTTATTTCTCACTATGCACCAAGCCGCAGTGCCGCCTTATGTCTATGTCGTCACGCTATGCGGCTTATTTAGGCTATATATGTTCTTACATTACGTGCTCCAACTTGTTTTTAGTTCTCCAGTTTTCTCTTTGTGAAACCTTACTTCATAGCAATAATTGAAAACGAAATTTCTCGATGGATGTAACGAAGCAATGGCACGCCGGGCCTACCTTTCTGCCCCTGCCCGCGATTTTTTTTTTTTTGCCGTGACAATCTAATAAATTTACCACTAGCCAACAAACCAATGGCAGACACAAAATGGTTTTTCACCACGTCTGCCTGTCCGGCCGCTGCTTCATTCACATCATAAAGGTGCCCTCCCCTCCCCCTACACCGAAAAAAAAAATATTTTGGCCTGGGCCCCTTGTATGTCCGGAGGTTTAACGAGAAAAATGCCATCAAACGATATGTATACAGACGGGTCTGCTGATCAGTGGCGTAAAGGTAACTGGGCAAACTAGCGTTCCTCTCTTGCAAAGAAAAACAAAATAAAAGTAGTGGCTGCAGGTTACAGGTGGTTCACAATTCTGATTGCCTTTGACAGACTGGCGCCGCGGACAGTGTGTACATTCCTGTACAGTTAATGGGCGGGTAATATGAAACATATTCTAGAATATAGACTGATGTGCCTCTTTGTATAAACATGCTCGACTTGTTAACTTCTGCTATTACTATTTTCACCGTCATCCATTAATCTTTCTTTTCCCCTTTCCCTTCCCCCAGTGTAGAGTAGCAGGCTAGAGCAAGCTATCGCTCAGGCCGACCTCTCTGCCTTTCTGTAAATAAACTTACCTCCTCCTTCACCATTACTTCCTGCCCCTTGTGCGAAGTTTGAAGAGGCAGAATAACTTCTGAAATTGATGTAGAGATATAATTAGGTTTTCGTATTCGTAGCTAGCCACCGTATTGACAGCTATAGCCACCCTTCTATTGAGGTTTGGGATTACTTCCAGTTGGGTGTATTGGGGTACGTTCATGGTGGTGAAGCTACAAATAACATGGATTTTGGAACAAAAAAGCACATTTATTCTGATGCACAGGAAGGGGGGGGGGGGTCAAAAGTTCCCAGGCCACGCTGCCATAGAAATAGAAGGAATAGTGGCCTGGGAATATTAGTACAGCCCTGAACATTTACTTGCGTATATGAGGACGTTGTTTCGAAGTAAAGTCTTCAGTCTTTTTGTCTTTTTGTCGGTTTCAAAATTTTTTAGCAGCAGCACTCGAGAAAAGTCTGGTCACTTCAATGAACATGCTTCAAGACAGAAGCAGAAAGTGTGTCTTTCAATTCGTGCTAGAGTATGAAAAGACTCTTTTTTTCCATCTTTGGGTAAAAGGAAGGCGCTTATTGTAAATGGCTCGCCCTTATATCTTGTGTCTAGCTTGAAAAATACATATTTGAAATATTTGACCAGACACCGGGCGGGAAGTGTTGAATATGGGCGGGCTGGTCGCCAAGGCTTTTGTTCCCTGCCAATGGTACTATAGCTACGCCGGTGCAGAAAACCGGAAGCCTTCTAGCGCCTGTGTTCGTCCTCTGGTCTTCAAATCTGTCCATTTTTTTGGTAGCGCTTTAGCGTCATGATCGTTTTCATTTACGTTCTTTCATTTCAGTGTCGATCATATTTGTCGTGGTGCACTCATAATGCTTCGTACATTCTGTGTTCTTTAGGGACGACGCTTGCAATGCTCCGATGGTCTTCACGTCAGTGTACGGTGACAGAGCTTCGACGCTTACGGGTGCTCTCGGGCAACTTGGTCTCTCCCAAGTACAAGTGGATGCCTGCGCTACGGTACGCCACCTCACGGACCTGTTCGTAGTGGTGCCCCGCAGCTTTCCCGTGAAGGTATCCGAAGACCTGTCCAATTTGGTCACCGCCGCCGGTCGCGACAACTTCTGCCGCGTCCTGACTTCCCTCTTTCTCCGTGAGTGTCGCGGTGACGTCTTCTCTATCTCCTGGTACAGGCATGGCTGCTTCGGAAGCATGCTCTTCGAGAGGACGGCGTTTCGCGAACTGTACGACGTTTTAGGACCCCACTGCGCTGCCACGCTTCTACTGCATTACTACGTCTTTGAACGCGTTGATGTGGACACATACGTCCAGTGGATTGGACCGCCGGCGTCCGGAGTCAAGCTCGTCGCCGCGCCGGACAGTAAGCGCTCTGAAACCGGCGGCCAGGTGGCGCGCTCGGTGCGGCAAGCAGCAATATCTGGGGGAGCCACCATTGGGCACCCCGTAACTACAGACAGCCGTTCGGACGGCGCAACTTCCGTCTTGTCGGCGTTTTCGACTTCTGACCATGTGGCTGCTAACAGAAACGGTGACCGGAAGCGACCGGCAAGTGCTTCGTTTGCCCGCATGAGGGCGCTTGAGGCGAAAAAGCCGCGAAAAAGCCACGGGAAATTCGGGGCGCGAGGGGGCCGGGCTAGACAAGGCGAAACGTACACGTTTCACGCGTGGACTATGCTGTACGTGTCCGACTGCAGGAGGCTTGAAAGACGCTTCATGCTCGGAAGCCCCGGCAACCTTGACAATGCCCAGAAGCTTGCCGACAAGGTCTTTGCCGCGTGGCCCGACTGTCCAGACGAGGTTCGTCGCCACCCATGCCTGCTGCGAAACCTGAGACAGCTCTTGAAGAATCACAAGTCTTGCAGGTATGGCAAGCTTCTCGCGGAGTACTGTTCGTCGCAAATCGGTAGCGAAGGCAGTAAAGACTGTGGCAAAGACATCGTCGACGTAAGCTCCATCGTCGACGAGGAAGAACTCCTTTTGCTATCTCCCCTTTCCGATCTCCTGAAAGACCATGTTCCCGCGAGATCGGTTTCAGGGTTTCTGCACGCTGCCCTGAGAAAGCTGATTCCGGTAGAACTGTTCGGTTCGAAGTCTAACTGGAGGAGGGTCGTCGATTGGGCTGCTTCAGTTGCTCGGATGAACAAGGGCGAAGTACTGAACGCGGCCGCATTCGCGGCCAACCTGCGAGTTCACCACGTGCCGTGGCTTCAGCGACTGGCGTGCGTGAGGGGCAACAAGAGGCTGCCGTGGTTGCGCGCGGTGGTCGCGTGGTGCGCGAGGCTAGCGGCGGCTGTCGTCTTGGTCTTCTTCTACGTCACGGACTCGCGCAAGGGCAAGCGACAGCTCTTCTTCTACAGGAGACGCGTCTGGAACGCCATAGTGGAGGTGAGATGCACAACGTGCTTAATTTATTAATCATACATTTCTTATAAAATTCAGTCTTTTATACATGACGTTGAATTCACTAGAAAAGGTGTTTTTGACGCCCGGTGCAAATGCGAAACTCCGAAACCGATAAAACGAAACGGGATTTTTTTGAAGGGTTGGTTACATACGCATTGAACCTCTCTTTCTCTCTCTCTCTCTAGCCCAGCATATTAAACTAAATCGTTGCTTTTGATGCTGCTGACCAAAAAATGAAAAAAAAAACAAAACCCTGTGTTAAGAAATTAATAATAGAAATATTCTGTTTACTTCGTGTGAAATTATTTGTGTTTTTATAATTTTTTGCATTGCTATAATTTTAGGCCTGGGCGTCCAGTGAAGACATCCTGGAGTATGCCGACGCCTCCAGTGGGCCTCCGAAACTGAAGGGTGTTGGCCGCCTACTTCCAAAAGAAGAAGCAGGAGGATTAAGGCTTCTTGTTACCGCGCCCGTCGCCAAGGACTTGGAGGTGAGGTCTCGCACCCTGAAGGTGTTTCTGGATTCCCTCAAAGGTAACGGCGGCGGTGCGGACGACGTTTACCGCCGTTGGAAGGCCTTTGCCTGCGACTGGAAGTCACGTGGAAAGCCCAAGCTCTTCTTTGTCAAAGCTGACATCGAGAACTGCTTCCACAGCGTCGACCACGAGGTGAGTGAAGGTGTTGATGCACTCGGTCGCAGCGGTGTTCTCCCCAGCGGATGCCTGGTGCTGCTTCTATATGTCCTGACTGTCGCTCTTCGAGTCACTGTCTTTCGGTCGCAAGTCGCGTAGACTGCTAAGCGTGGAGCATTTTAGGGGCCTAGGGCTGTCATACGCTGTCTTCGTCTCGTGTAGCTTGGTGTTATATGGGGTAACGCTGGCAAAATCACATATAACATAGCCTGAGTGTGAGGTCCCGCAAAGGGAAAGTCTACTTCCATTGAGCGCCATGATAACAAGTACGCAGGCGCCAAGGCTGCCATATGCTCTCGACAGTTGAAATAAACTACGTATTAGGAAAAAAAACGGATGCATGCGAGAAATAAAATAAAAAAACAGAAAGGAACAGGGACAAAAGCAAAAACAACTTTAAGAAAGAAAGAAAACAAGCTGAAGAAGAGAAAACTGAAACAGAGCACTATAGAAAAAGTAAACCGAACAGAAAAAACAAGGTGGCCCACCCGGCTGCCTTCAGGCTTAGTGCCATTAGTGAAATGCTGCTTGAAGTTGCTTCTATTGTATGTCAAAGCAGTGATATGAAAGTCACTCAGCCGCTTTCAACCGCCTCGGCACGTATATATCGACGCTCGGTAGAAGCTTTATTTGAAGCAATGACGCCTCGTGTCGTTCCTTCGTGATTAGTAGAGAAGATAGTCGCATACAACTGCTCCACTGCCGCAACACTTAGCTTAACATTTGAATCGACTTTTATTTTCGGCCTTTTTTTTAGAATATTCCAAGTAAAGCTCGACTACGAAACACGGTGAAGTAGTAATTCGTTTTCGTATGTGACCAGTACGGATAAACTAAATAGTGAAGTGTCTTTTGTTGCCAAGGTGGTGCTCGGCATAACAGCTGACTACGACAATTTCTTTGAATACCCACTGCATTCGTTGTATTGTTATTAACTGGCAGCTTTTATTGAAGCGTATACTATAGTCTGCGTCAGGGTAACGTATACTAATGCTTTACGGAATACACGTCATTCGCCGTGGCTGCCTATAGGTTCATGCTTTCTCAAGCATTTATAGTCAAGAAGGGAGCAAGTAATCTATATCGGCTGATTGATATTGTGCTAGTGCAGTGAGCAGTGCAGTGACACTTCGCCGCAGCACTTCAACACGATTTGTGCGCAAGTACAACGCCTTGAGGTCGAATTAGCCCCGCCGCGGTGGTCTAGTGGCTAAGGTACTCGGCTGCTGACCCGCAGGTCGTGGGATCAAATCCCGGCTGTGGCGGCTGCGTTTCCGATGGAGGCGGAAACGTTGTAGGCCCGTGTGCTCAGATTTGTGCGCACGTTAAAGAACCCCAGGTGGTCAAAATTTCCGGAGCCCTCCATTACGGCGTCTTTCATAATCATATGGTGGTTTTGGGACGTTAAATCCCACATATCAATCAATTGAGGTTGAATTAAATTTACTTTAGAAATGCCGGCTTTCAGAATGGCATTCGAATGTAGCCGAGAGATAGATGTCATATTGGCAAAAGAGAGGCAGAGCTTATGCCAGAACTCGCCAACAATGAAGATGTAATAAGGGGAGAATATAGTTACAGTATGGCCAACACGCTTTAGACGCTTGCACTTCTGAGGCTTAACAGGCGACTGATAACGTCGTATTGCTGTACTTTATCCACCAGGTGACGCTGGGAGTGGTGGACAGGGCGTTTGAGCGTACCGAGCGGGACTCCCGGATTGTGGCCTGCACAGTGGTGAAACTTAACTCTTACGGCCGCGTGGTGAAGCACTGGCGGCAACTCTTCGCCAAGGACGTCGCGAACATGGGACATGCTTCAGAGAGCCCGTTAGCTCAGCAGCACCGCGTCTCCAGCAAGGCCAAGATTCTGGTGGCGAAGACGTGTCTCTTGCCTAACTCGAAGGAGCTGAAGCAGCTGCTTCGGGACTACCTGACCAAGTTTCATTTCCAGCTGCATGACAAGACTTACAGCCTCAGGAAAGGCGTGCTGCAAGGCGGTCATTTGTCCGCAGACATTGCGGAAGTCTACATCACGGCGATGCAGAGGCAACACCTGTCGGACTTCGGCAATGTCAACGGAGAGCTCATAATACGTGCCACCGACGACTTTCTCTACGTCACTTTCGACGAGGAACGTGCTCGCCGTTTCCGAGACGCGTTCTTCGAAGGCTTCTCTGACTTTTGTCTCTTCGCCAATGCTTCCAAGGTGCAGACGAACCTCGTGGACGATGAAGAAGAATGGTACGCTTGCAGGCCGTCTCCTTTTAGGGCATTTAGGGAAAGAGCTGACTTCTGCGGGTACGTCTTCGACGTGTCGACGATGGAAGTGTTCCGGGATTCCGCGGCCTCGGCTCCAGTCGGATCGGTGGTGCACAAGTCCGAACGAAGACCGGGAGAAGCACTGAAGAAGTACCTCGAGCCTTGGCACTTGCCCGTGTGTCCCTTGGCGTTGGATCCCCTGATTAACTCGCGGGAGTGCGTGCTCGCAGGAGTCCTAGACTTGTTCGTCACCTTGGCCGACCGCTTCTTCTGGTCGGTGAACTCCATGCGCTACGTGGACGAAGACTACGTAACGAAGGTCGTTCTTGGAATACTGGACAACTTTCTGGTCAGGGCGTTTAGGTGGGCGTCTGGTGAAGGTGTGGAGCTTTCCCTCAGCGAAGGAGAGTTGCGGTACCTCTTCGTGTTGGTGTTCGCGAGGAGAGCGAGCCGCAAGTCGAGTGGTGTAGGGAAGCGTCTCTATGATGTCGTCCAGCGTGTTGGCAAGCAATTGGCGCTGATCGGTGATCTGAAACATTTGGAAGATTCTGTAGATTTGGCTTTGCCTTGAGTGCGTTTTGTGCCTTTTGTGTATATAAACAGTACTACATGATGTCTGCATGTTTTCCAAAGAACACACGTAATCAGTGACTGAGATTAAGACGTTGAGCTGTGAAACGATTTACTGCAATGTAAATTAAGCAAAAAAATAAAGAAATTTAGAGTTGGTCTTGTGAAACTCAACTACGAGTGCGAAAACGAATTCCGCCGTGGTCTGTGTGCAGTGTATTTCACAAAGCCGCTTTTACACTGGTTGAAATGAGCCGCTTTTACTAAAGTAAACTTAAGCAAGATAAGCCTTAGTGTTATATGCACACTCATAACATTCATTCCATTATGGCCATAATGATCATAAAGTTTCCTAAAGTTAAGAACAGGGGACTATGGCGCCGCGATTATTCAGCCACCATTGCAACGATGGGTAGTACACAAATGTGTCTAGTCTTGGAATGCACTTGGGGCTTCCGTTATTGCAGTGTTCGGATTTTCCTGCGAATAAAAAAGAACGGAAAGCTGTGAACTTCGTGAGCCGATTTCAATTGGTGAGCCTAATGAATTAGCATGGTGAGGCTCAACTGCTGAACATCTGCCAAATGTCGTTTCGTGACAAAGCAGCTACAAGCCACGCGAAGCCAGACCGCGCCGAAAGTACAAAGATTAGACAAATTTGCGTACTTCCCGTCATTTTAAAGCTGGTTGAAGCCCTGCTTTCAGCTTCCATGGGCACTCGCGTGTGAGTTCCCCCTATTTGAAACTCCATGATAATGATCACTCGAGGTACTCCGACATGAAGCCCGGTATCTATATATCTATCCCACTGCATGAGTGACCAAAACGAGACCGCACATAACCTAACTCAAGCGTTTCTAAGGCGTGCGAATCGATACCACGATACCAACATTACAAATTTATGGTTTAAATTCCTTGCGATGGTCTCCGACTGTATGCGCGCCGGTTGGACCTTTGCTGTCATTGCCAACATTCAGTTATGCTGACAGGTCACCTCTGAACATTTGGCCATTGTGCTTGCCTTACTCAAGTTAGGGTGTGGTAATAAATGATGTATGCTTGTGATCTTTTGATACAGAAAATCTGCCTGGCAACGGCATTGGAAATCACAGGCACGACGTCGTCAGGACGTAACTGTATACTAACCTTTTCACAGTCACTTTTACAATTGTTCCCGCTTACAATAGTTCAATAAATAGTTTTCTTTTGTCGAGCTCCGTGTTTTTCTGGATGCATGCAGGTCGTGATGGCTGCACCGGTTTGCAGCTGAGCTAAAACACCAGGACTGCGTGGTTGCGCAATAGTGTCTATAGGCAAAAAGGTATGGTCATTGCTTGTGTCGCCGGGTGTACGAGCTAGTGCTAGGCTTGAGGACAAGCCGGTCGCCGAGAGTGTTCAAGTTCAAACTTCAACGTGGTTACCGGCGTGTGTTTTGCACGCGTGATATATAAAATCACGTAAGGAATGAAGGAAACGGAAAAACAGACGGCAGGGAGGTTAACCATAAAAAGTGTCTGGTCGGCTATCCTACGCTGGGGCCATGGGCAAAAGGAACGCAAATAAATAATTGATTGCTTCAATAAACTGCTTACTCCTTAGTGCTGCAGCACTGCAAGTATTTTAACGTATAACCCTCTCAAGAGGCCATATTTTTACAAAATATGGCCTCTTGAGATGGTTAGACGGTAGAATACTTGCAGTGCTGCAGGAATAATGAGTAATGAGTTTATTGAAACATATATGTTGTGAAATTTCAACATTGAGTGCGGCAAGTTTGAGTTTTGCTACTTTGTGTCGCACATTTCTCTCGGTACGTTACGGCTCGATGAGAAAAAATGCCGGTCACTATGAGGCGCGCGTGACTACGGGCCTGCGTTTTCATACGCTCTTAATCAGGTCTTGGTTAACATGTGGGCTATATCCAGGAAACCAGCAGAAAAATGTCCTGTTTCCAGGTTATATCGGGCATTTACAGCAGGTGCTGATCAAGAGTGACGAAGTTTTCATCCGTGTAAGATCTTAAGAGAAGAGTTTCTCATCGCAAGGAATTAAAATGTAATTCGAAGTAAAGGCAGCAGCTTAATCATCTGGATCTCTTATCGTGGAACACAAGAAAATGCAATTTTATAGAATACGACAACTCTAGATCGTGCTGCCAGTTCCCTAAGAGCGATGGCTCTAGTCTATTAGATTTCCGGAACCTCTGTGTTCTTATGTGAAGTCAACTTTTGCGATATGAGATGACAACATTGTAACACAAGCGAACACCGTGTCCATGTCGCATTAGCCGTCGTTTAAAGGGACTCTGAAACGGTTTCGACTAATTTTTACAAACACATTGGGCTGTCTACCATGTCCCATTGGTAATTTAGAAACCTATTTGAGCTCTCTGCGCAAACTGTGTAATTTATTACCACGCTTTAGAGCTGCGAATCACTTCAGATCGCTGCGACTCGGCCAAACTCGTTTTCAACCGCCCATTCACCAAGTGATACGCTCTGCGCCACTGACGTCATCGTTTCCAGCCGATCTGATTGGCCGTGAAAAGCGTAGCATAGACTGCCGGTAATCGGTGGTGGGATTCACGCGTAAGCGGTCTCACGCCACATCGTTACACGGGCGCCGTGAAGTCAGAGATAACCCCGAGCGCTCGAAGGAAGAGTTGAGGGCAATTGAGCGTGAAAGGTGGAGCGAAGGAGGAGGGTACTTTTTTAGTACTCGCAGCTCCGTTAATAATGGGTGTTTTGATTGAATTCTGGTGCCAATGATTTGCTCCAGCATCGGTCTAATCAAAAACGGAATGTGAAAAAACCGTTTCAGGGACCCTTTAAGTAATTTATATTTGACAAATCGAGGCAGGCTTCTCAGTAGCAGCCTGAACAAGGACTGTTGGTGTGTTCAACATATTTGGTTGGTTTAAGCAAAAAAGGCGAAGAGCACTGCCAGTTGAGAGTAAAATCCTGTTCTCGGGCAACCTTTTTGTTCGGAGTATTTCCAAGCCTCCGGAACCAGTTTTATACTCGAGCTGTCCTGAGTTATTGCGTGGCGCTGCCGGAGTACATTTTACCGTCAGAGTGACCGAGCCACCTCCAGAGTATGTTTCGCTGGTTTTTCACTCAGCTTGTGCGGAGTTTTCGTGTTTTGAAGTCTTTAACGAATGTCGCTACTTCGTCCGGACAGAATTTTAAGGCGCTGTATCATAAGTATCTTTTTCTTTGCTTCACTGTTTATATATTGTCCGCTGATCACATCACGCATTGATTGGATAAGGGAATTCTCGTGGAAATACAGCAGCGTTACTAGGTATTTTTTCCACAGAGCTCTTGAAGATGAAATTCAAGAGAAGACTTGAGTTCTTGTTTGATTTGTTCAAAATAAGCGGTCGTTCCCTATTGACGACCAAACATTTGGGAAGGAAGACAACAAAGCAGTGTAGAACAATCCACCAAAAAGCAAGACACAAGACAGATCACATGAAATCAACAGCGCGAATAAAACCGATCGTGTGAATAAAAAAAAAATGTGTATGACAACGCAGAAATTGCAAGCCTCCAAGGCATAGTGGTAAAGCATGTGCTTCAAGACCAACACTCTTGTTGTTGGTATTCCTCGAGGCCATAACGTTCTCGTAAGGAGTGTTTTTCGTTGCGATAAGATAACAGCACTCCGCAGGCGGGCTTGCTTGAAACGAGATGGGTGCGTTATTTTGAACACGGCGCGCTGTCTGTTTCTACCGGCAAAGAATTGTCAATCTTGGTTATAGACACGAGGGGCCCCGAATTCCGCATCAGTACTCATCTAGCCGCGATGGGCGCCTGGGCGACGGTTTCAAAGGATGCTTTTATCACTTTATTTGCCTTTTTTTATTCTGCACCGCCATCCTGTGGGGATTTCCCAACAAATGTCGATTATTGCTCTGTTCCCTTAGGGCAGGCGTCGGCCACAGGAGAGGCATATTTTTGTCGTAAACATCGGCACGCTTCTTAAAAAATACTCACCTTAATGCTGGTATACCAGCATTAGGAAGTGTAGCAAAGCCATTTATGACAACGGCTAACGGTTACCAGAGCCACCCTTTTCAAGCAAAGAAAAAAGTACGTTGCTGGGATGAAAACTTTGAAGACAAAAGCTTGTGCCTGCAGTTACGCATGCCTGTTAGTGGCCTCGACAGTTGCATAAATATATAGGGGAAATAAGCAGCATATCTAGCATACTTAATATGTTCGAAACATCATTAACTCCTCGCCACACTTTGCATCACAAAGACAAATTGACACACTCGTGGGGAGTTCTTCGCACGTGTTTTCTAGCATTAAAGAAATAAAGAACGTCATACGCAAACAGATAGCCAAAGTTCTGTTTGGGGCGCGTTGGCATCTCTAAAAAATGGGGTGCTCTTTATGGAGGAGTTGTTTATATCAACAAATTCAAATTTTATACGATACAAAGGCGGCAGCCTAATCTTGTCTATCATTTCTCGTATAACACAGGAAAATGCGGATTTATAAAGTACAGCAGCTCCAAAGACCAAAGCACTTTTCGTGGTGCCAGTCCGTAAGAATAAAAGCTCTGTTCTCTATTACATTCACTGAACTCCAACATTGTAACCCAATAGAACACCGTCTGCGTGGGATTGTGCATTAGCATTTGTTTAACCGATTTGTTATTGGTGAATTGGGGCGGGCTTTTCAGTAGCCGCCTGAACAAGGAATGTCGTTGGTGGTGTTTAGGTTTTATTTCAAGCAAAAACAGTGGAAGTGCACTGTAAAAGAAAATTATGCCAGTTAGGAGTAAAATGCCTGTCCTCGGTGCTAAATTCCCTGCCAAACTTCTGCTCGGGCTGGCCGGAGTAATAGCGTGGTGCAGCCGGAGTAATTTTATCCGGCGTTTCTCTCCGGGAGACCGGAATGACTGTGTGTCATTTCCATAGGGATTTTCGCCGGTTTTCCCTCAGGCTATGTGCGGAATTCTCACGTTTTACTTTAAAGGTGTTTACAAATG